AATCACCAAATAAAGATACAGCACCGATGAATTCATTAGTCCTTTCCCGCTTTCAAAGCATGCAAATAGGCATACCATATTAATCAAAGTGGTACAGCATTTTTGCTCTTTTAGCAGCAGACACTCCCAAGATTTTTACTTTTTAAAGCAACCATTCTTTGTTTAGGGATATACGCGAATCTTAGCCAATATAGAACAAACACTCGGTCGCCGAGAAGTCCTGAAAGAGCACTATGAGAAAGTTAAAGACAACCTGCAGACAACTGAAGCAGTAAGCGAGACTGAAGTAAATGACTTTCGGAAGGTAGCTGAGGCATATCTCAAGGATCTCAGAACCAAGAGATACACTGTTCTTATTCTCGGTAAGTCTTACAACAATAAAGTTGAAACCTTCTCGTCTTTCCCAGATTAAATTCAGGAGTTTTTCCCCTAGTTTTCATTTGTTAAGTCATGATTGACCCCTCTCACATTTCAGTAAAAAAGTATGAACTTTCGCTGTCAGCATTTCCTTACGCCGAAATCCATGGAACACTCTTCTCTCCACCGCCGCTTGTTCTCCGTTACGTTTGCTTTGCCTTCTTAACAGTCGTTCAGCTAGCAGTCCTCTTGTAACTTTAAGACAAGATTATGACGAAAATGAAAACTTACAATAACGAAAATTAATTGAGGTGTTGAAAGACTCAAAATAACTGTCATTAGATGCTTCAAAGGATCGTAAAACTGGGGCAAATTGCCAATCGTTTTCAGAGGTTAACCCTTGTGGCTTAGTTGGTGTTCGACATATTTTCTGTCCATCTTCTCTGTATAACATAAAGTACGATGATGAGGGTACGAGTCGCTCATAATCCACGGGTATAAGAGGGACCTTTAATTTTCAAATATTCTCCATCGTAGGAGTGGAATATATGTTCACTGTTTCAAACCTTTCCCATTTCACTACATCAGGAGAAACCAGCGCTGGCAAGAGTAGTCTTATTAACCTCTTACTTGGAAAAAACATCATGCCAACCAGTATCCAACAGAACACACTGACTATATGTGAAGTGTCATATGGACCGGCTGAAGAAGCTGTGCTGCACTTCGCTAATAGACGCAAACCACCTCGTGTACTTACCGGGGAC